TCCTTATCTCTCTCTCAAACTTATCCTTCATCTCTCTCTCAAAATCCTTATCCTCTCAAACTTATCCTTCTCTCTCTCTCTCAAACTTATTATCTCTCTCCTCAAACTTATCCTTCTATCTCTCTCTCAAACTTATCCTTCTATCTCTCTCTCTCAAAACTTATCTCTCCTTCAAACTATCTCTCTCTCAAAAATCTCTCAAACTTATCCTTCTCTCTCTCTCTCAAACTTATCCTTCTATCTCTCTCAAACTTATCCTTCTATCTCTCTCTCAAACTTATCCTTCCAATCTTCTCTCTCTCAAACTTATCCTTCTCTCTCTCTTAAACTTATCCTTCTATCTCTCTCTCAAACTTATCCTTCTATCTCTCTCTCTCAAACTTATCCTTCTATCTCTCTCTCTCAAACTTATCCTTCTATCTCTCTCTCTCAAACTTATCCTTCTATCTCTCTCTCTCAAACTTATCCTTCTATCTCTCTCTCCTTATCCTTCTATCTCTCTCTCACTTATCCTCCTCCCCTTATCTTCTCTCTTATCCTTCTCCTCAAACCCTCTCTCTCAAACCTTTCATCCTCTCTCTCTCTCTCTTCTCTCTCAAAACCCTTCTCTGAAATTTTTCCTTCTCTCTGAAACTTACCCTTCTCTCTGAAACTTACTTCTCTCTCTGAAACTTTCCTTCTCTCTCTACTTTTCCTTCTCTCTCTGAAACTTTTCCTTCTCTCTCTTGAAACTTTCCTTCTCACTCTCCTTTTCTCTCTGAAACTTTTCCTTCTCTCTGAAACTTTTCCTTCTCTCTCTCTCTCTGAAACTTTTCCTTCTCTCTCTCTCTCTGAAACTTTTCCTTCTCTCTCTCTGAAACTTTTCCTTCTCTCTCTCTGAAACTTTTCCTTCTCTCTCTCTGAAACTTTTCCTTCTCTCTCTCTGAAACTTTTCCTTCGCTCATTTTCTCTCTCATACTTGTCTAATGCTTGATTGTCTCCGATATGTTATTGACATCTTTTGTATTTGGTACTCCATGTGTTGTTATTTTTATTGGTTTTTTTTTTTGTTTTTTACAATTTATTTTTGGCATTACTTGTGATTAGTCCACTGAATTATCTTGAACTTTTTTGTTCTTGCTCCTTAATAATGTTTCTCTTTTTTTCTTTCCCACTCAGTAACCCCTTGAGACTTAGTGGCTGACTTGCATGGTGTGATATGGTCTAAAAAAAATAGTAGTAGACTTCTGTCGGTCTCAGGAGATTAGAGTCTCCTAGTGTGGTTAGCTAATCCCTGTTGCAGACACATGTTCAGGCACATTTATATTTCTTCAACACACACATACACAGCTGACCTGCAGTTTATACTGCAACTATTCTGAGTGAATCTTAGATATAGTTTCTGGGAGAGAGTGCATAATGAACAGTTTGAAAAAAAAAAAAGGCCATTTTTCTCAAACTCTCTGTCACAATAACTTGTCATGATGTGCTACAATACAACTATTGATGGCTTCTAAACAGTGTTGTTTATGCAGTTTCACAATGTTTGGGTCAACTTGGAACATGGTGTTTAGGCATTTCTCAACAGTGCTGCATGCTGGGATCATCTCTCCAGGGCTATATTATCAAGAAGTCACCTCTCTGACTATTGTAAGATTCAGATTCTGGTCTCATGGTCAAAATACTAACACTCTAACCACTCTGCCATGTACTCATAGATATTTTAATAGGTTTCTTGTTAATTTTTTTTAAAATACATTGATGCATTAATTTGTTATAGGTTGGGTATTTGAAGAATTTCACAAGACTTAGATTTTTGCTTGGGGATATGCACTCAATCTGCTTAATATCACCAGCTAAAGACCCAACCTCTTGGCAATATCCACCTTTTTGTTTGCTATTTTTTAAATAAGTTTACATGAGCCAACACCTTTGAAAGCAAAAAAATGACTAAATTAAGTAATGTTGAAAAACTTGTAGTCCAGTTACTAGTTTGGGCTGTTTAGTATTTGTACAAGACTTTTAAACAAATCTTCAAATTATTTTTTTTTTCTTTTAATACTAGTTAAACTTAAGTTTTTCTCTTTCTTTCTCTCTCTCACACATGCACACAGACACGTAAAAATTCAGATAGAAAATACAAATATATCTTTAAAAAGACAGAATAAAGACTTAGCCAACACATTTCATAGTTTTGTCTTTATATATTTATTTATGGACACATGGCTAAGTGGTTATAACATTTGCTTTCTGGCTATAAGATCCAGGTTTGAGTCTCACCCTGATTTATTAGGGAGGTACCTTCTTCTTAATAATGGCCTGAGGAGGTGATTCCAAAATATGGCTCCTTTCAAAAATGCCTGAAAATTATACCACAGGTTAACCCAAGTTTTGAAAGTGAAATTGGGTAGACAGAACTCATTCAAAAGCTATTAATGATTGTAATGCCATTGTGACTGAGTGTTTGAGCATACTGTTCAAAAAAATTGATCACACCAATGTCATAAGCATTAACTTCCCTTGATTTGGACTCTTCCAGAATTATCCACCTTTTGCTGTACTATATATACATATCATCTTTTACTTGTATTTTTGGTATATTTATTTGCTCTTAACCTCATTGTGCACTACTTTGTTTATTAAAGCCTCCATTAAAGTACTTTAGTTCTGTTCCTTATTACAACCAAATTATACTCCCTTCCCCAGAAACTGTAACTAAGGGCCACTCACCTTAGTTGAAGTATAAATCACTTTTCAAATCTCATCAGTAATGTGACAAGGAGAAAATGAGAGCCCCAGTCTATTTACTCTTTTCCTAGATTATGCTCTGTGCATTTGCAGCCACAGACGTGAAGAGATGGGCACTAATCATCCCAAATGAATCTACCAATAAAAGATAACAATCCTGCTTTCCCTCTTGAGACCAATGTACCAATGATGAGGTGTGCGGAGGACTATGCTGATGACATAGGTATTCATAATTGTGATAAGAATGATCTTGAATAGAAAATCAACATCCTCTACCAAGTGTTCCAAGAAATGGGATTCAAACCTTTCCAAAACAGAAACTATGATCTGGAATTGGAATGAAAGCAGTGATGGCACGTAGCTTGAATCCATCATAAAAATTCATGATGTGGAATTAGTAAATACCAAACATTCCAAATACTTTGATGTATGGATCAGTTATAACAAATTTAGTATAGAAGAAAAGGAAATTGAACATAGAATAAGCAGTTTTGCCCAACACTGCAAATTGCTACAAAAACAAAACATCAACATGAAAATTTTCATCATGTTCTTAAATAGCCTTGTCAAATGAATGTTATGCATGGCACCAAACCTGTTCAGAAATATCTAAACTGTCAGCTGTCTACAACCACTTTCTAAGGTAAAGGGTTAAAAAAAAAGCATTGAGCAAGTGAAGCATGAGGGAATTTGCAAAGATCATCCTTCTTTGAACATTGTAGGTCGGTACTACAGAATCACAAATGAAAACAGTACCAAATAACATTACTTGAGGACTACCAACCGCAGCAACAACTAAAATGAATAGTACATGTAATGCAAAGTGAAAATAATGACATACTCAAGATGTTGACATTTTACACCACTTTAAATAAAAAGTTAGGAAAGAAATCTCCCTCAATACTGGAAAAAGCAATAACTTGTACTTGGGAAACCTATTTTTCTGAAAAGTTGTTTTGAGTGAAAAAATTTTATACATTTCAACTGAAAGCGATACTGTCTGCTCAGTCAATGAATGCCAAATGTTTCATTGTAGGGAAACAGCTAATGTTACCATATATATATATATATATATATATATATATATATATATATATATATATATATATATATATACACACACACACTTTTCTTCTTACCAATAGCACAACTAAATTCACCTTCTAAAGATTGCATTGTGCATGAAACTCAGTCTTGCTAGCAGTGAGGAAAAAAAAGATGTATATTTATTAATATATAATTTATAGCTCCGTTATATTACTGTTATGGTGTAGAACCATAGAAAGATAACATGGATTTGGATATAAGGTTAAATAGTATATTCTCGGAAACGTAGTACAAATGTAAATATGGACTGGAGAGTACTTTCTCTCACTGGTGTCTTGACACACTCATTCACTCACTTGGTGTCTACTACTCTGTGACCCTCACTTGGTGACTCCCTTTACTCAGAGTTGGTAGTCATATTATATAGGTTTGGAAGAGTCCACTTGTAGGTAGGTAGGTCCCCACAATAATTACATCAAGGACTATTTTATTAAAACCAGTACTAAATGTGATATATATATATATATATATATATACACACACACTGAGTTGTAAGTGTGCTGACAAGGACTGGTGATTGTTAAATTGTTTATTTACCATTATTTACATAGTTTGGACTATTGTCCTCATCTTTATTGTCATATTCATGCCATTTTGGCTGTTGTATGTTTTGGCCTTAATGACGTGATATACATTGTAATTTCAAACCGACCCCTTTATTGGGGTAGATTGTTCTAGTTCCACGTGTCAAGTAACTTAACTCCCCAAGTTTTTGTTCATCTATGCTGTGGCCAGGTATTGAACTCTTTGGGTCAAGTCACTGGCTTACTTCAACCAACACTTTTATAACGCCGGAGCATACTACAGCCAAAAATTGCGAATATGACAATAAAGATGAGGTCAATGGTCTGAACAATGTAAATAGTTACAATACCTCATCTCAGAAATATAGACAGATGTTAAATCATTTATTGTGTGAAATAATTTTTTTTTTTTTATCTTTAGGCTGTAGGCTTGTTAATTTGTCCTGCAGCTGAATATAAAAAGCATTTTGTACCAAAATGATCTTTATTTTTCAACATAATCTTCATCCTTTTAAGTGCACTTAATTTATTGATAAATCTTAATCAGAAGATCAAATATTATACGACTAAAATTTTTGTTAACAACTCTTGTATAATTTTTTTTTTTTTTTTTTCCACAGGAAGTAGAATGGTGCTTGCAGCATGAAAACTCTCCGAAATGGACACCATCCAAGACCCACACCCTCTTACTGTATCCCGAAACCTTGTTTCGATGATGATGACTGCTTACCAGTGCCAAAGCTTTCATTTTTACCAGCTGCTGCTATTGTATTTTTGTTGGGCACAGCATGCTTTGCTAACAGCTGCAATGGTGACTTTGTCTTTGACGATACTGAGGCCATCCTGAACAATGCCGATATAAAGTCGGATGTGTCTTTGGCAAAACTCTTTCAACATGACTTTTGGGGAACTAAGCTAGATTCCAATAGCAGCCACAAGTCTTACCGCCCTCTAACAGTGCTTACATTCAGGTCAGTCTCGACTTTAAATTTGGCTAATTTATTTTGAAATATTATTTTTATGAGACTCATACAGCAAATATTTTACCTTTCTTTATAAAAAAAAAAATATATATCAACATGAATATATTAAACTGGTGTTACTCAAAGAGGAAGCACTTGATTACCAGCAAGGAATTTCAAATATAAATGGAGGAATTTTAGCTAGGGGAAAAAATTGGGTATTAAATCAACCAAGTTTTATTGGCGATTAAAATAAAGATTTTTTTTTTTTTTTTTTTAAGATTTGATTGCAATTAAATCAATAAAGCAATTTTTAAAAAATTGTTTCATTTGTTTAATTGCAGGTGTAAAAGACGAGTTAAAGTCTCACAAAAATGCTTATTCTTTATTTTGTAATCCACATTGCTAACTTAATCATAGAATGCTGATCTGGAAAATTAGAATAAAAAGTAACTGAAATTAAGATGAAAGAAATAACAAAGCTTCATCTGAGAAATCTGAATATTATTATTATTATATTCTATTTAATCATTCTGCTTAAGAAAAGGTAAGAAGTCTAAACTCCGAAGTTAAAAATGCAAAAAAAAAAAAAAAAAATTTTTTCCTGTTTACACATTGGAAGATTTCTGTTGTACTCTTTCACATATCCTGATCTCTTGGACAAACTTTACAAATTTGATGTTATTTAAGACCCACAGACATATGACCTATACTTCCTATTTATATTTGTAATTATCCCTCTTGTTATAATCAATCTAAGAGAGAACATTGCTTTCAGGGTATTTTAGGATATAGTATTGGTTAGAGAGGTGAATCTAGTTGACCATTATTCTTAAGTATTGACTTTGATCCTCACTAAGTGTCACATACAAAATATCACATTAAATAGCCCAACAATGGTTGATAAGTTGTAAAAATCAATGAACCAACTTTACCCTAAATTGGCGTTTCTCAACTATTGCACTCAGGCACAATAATGTACCCTGAAAAGTATCCAGGTGCAATATAAGCAACTTGATATAGACTTGAATAAAAACTCCATTAAATTGTTTTACTGTAAGTAGATGCATCATAATCATAAACAAGACAAAAAGTCCATTAAAAATATAATCTACCTGTATATAACAGTTATTGATCCTAACAAGTACCTTAGATTTGTCATTTATTCTAAAAGAAATTCAAAATGTCTGATCTAATACTTCAAAATAATTCATCATCTGAAAAATTCACCCTATGTAAAAATAATGTTGTTTATCAATTCTTATGTCTTTGGGGAGATTTTATCTCCAACACTAACAAACAACATTAAATATTTACATTGACCACACATGCACCACACTCTCTTGTAGGTTGACTTGTCATTTGTCAAAATTTAGTTCAGCACACATATAAATCAATATATCACAAATAAGCAAAAGAAAAAAAAATCATGTATTTTCAGTAGCCAGTTACATTATATATATATATATATATATATATATATATATAATCTCAGTAAATTTTTTCTGGAGGGGTTAGAATTCATGTAAAAAAAAATTCAGGGGTTGCACTATACATGAAGTCAGCGTATACACAAGTATATACAGTATATATTTTCAATAAATTAAGAAAAGTTCAAGTGGCTTATCTGGTGCAAAACACTTATCAGGGCCAGATGTTTATTAATCTATTGAATTTATTATTATCAGATCTTATATTTATGTTTTTGGAACAAACAAACCCTAATTCTAACTTTTAAATTTCAAATTCTTAACGTATATACAATTGGGGGTGGGAGGGGAATTTTTTTAGTTTTTTTTCTTTACTTTTTTTATTTTATATTTTTGAAAATTTTCCCTCTAATAATCCCTCTATATATGTAAAATACATAGATGACATTTTTGTTTTAGCTAAAAAATATTGATCAAATTGCACAACTTAAAAATAAATTTGAAAGTCACTCTGTCCTCAAATTTACATTAGAACTTAATATTAATGATAAAATTCCATTCCTTGATGTATTTATTGATTCCAGTACACATAAATTTACTACTTCTCTATATAGGAAACCCACAATCATTAACTTGTGTCTTCTTAATTATAACAGTGAATGTCCACAACAATATAACCTAGCCATTATAAAAAACTTAACCCAACTCACACAAATGATATCTTCTTCCAAGACCATATTCTATAAAGAATTACATAACATTAAACAAACACTTGTTAATAATAGATTCCCTAATTCCATCATTGATCAACAAATTAAAATGCATCTCAATAAACTTAATAATACCTATAACAAAATTGATAATATTAATAATAATAGTGTATGTCAAAATAAACATGATACTATTAACTTACATTATTGTAACCAAATGCATAATAATTACAAACATGATGAAACAGCACTCAAAAACATAATAGGTAGAAATGTTAAACCCATTAATAATAATAAACAGGTTAAGCTCATCATATATTATAAAAAATTTAAAACAATTGACCTCATAGTCTCTAATAACCCTACAACCATACAACTAAATCCTCTACAAAAAACCAATGTAGTGTATCTATTTACAAGCACATTCAAAGATTGTATCTCTGATACTAATAATAAGCCCACTACATATATTGGTTTTACTACCACCACGCTCTCCTGTAGACTTACCAGTCACATTTCTGATCTTAGTTCTATTAAACAACTTTTCTTAGAAAAACATAGCCATGTACATAATATTAGGCAGATATTAGTTGATAACAATAATACTCACACATACACACAGTAAAAAGAGTCTTTAGATATTGGAGGGCATCTACATTAAAATGAAGCAACCCACACTCAACAAAATTACATTGCATCTAGACATATGATTTTTCTGTTAATATTTTGGCCTCTCACATGGTATGATGTCACAGAAATGCATCTTGAACTTACAAACTGTCTGCTATTCTGCAACCATTATTGTCACATAGCAATCTTCTATGTGAAGATGGCTCATGTGAGCTGAAAGCTTAGATCAAGGACCAACTTAATAAAAAATATCCAAATGTTGGACAATTTTTGTCTTTATTTTCACCTGAAATTAAAGCAAACATACAAAGTTTAGAATGGCTCATGATTAAACATAATAAACATTCATTGTCTGTTGTTTAAATATATATATATATATATATATATATCTTAAAATAATAAAACACTGTTTAACTTGGTGAAATTTTGCAGAATTAACCACCTAATGAGACATTGGCAGTCAAAACCGCAGTAGTGTTCCATTCAGCATTTTATTGTTTTATGATATTAAATTGCTCTACAGCTTTGATTTTTCTACGCTTATATTGAGCACTTTTTAACACATACAATTTTAAACAACTATTTTAGTGTTCATTTAAAATCTTAATTATATATATATATATATATATATATATAAATCTCTGCTCAGTTTTATATCCCAATGTAAACAAGTCAATCTGTAAAAAAAATATATATATATATATATATATATATAATGTGTGTTATATATATATATATATATATATATATATGTATATATATATATATATATATATATATATATATATATAATATATGTTATATATATATATATATATATATATATATATATATATATGTATATATATATATATATATATATATATATATATATATGTTTTTTATATATATATATATATATAAATATTTTAGTGTGTAAGAGAGGTTGTAAATGTGATGGTGACCTTATGAATGGCTTACAGGCCCATAGCAGAGTGTTAGCTCAGGTTATAATAAAATTGTGAATGAAAAACACAAAAATCTGCCAAGAGATGGTCTTCTGCAACGAACAATCATCGTACACACACACACACACACACACACATACCACTGATGAAGGGCATGTGTGTGAAGAAAAGAGAAAAATAAAATTTCTTTATTAATACAAGCATTCCTATCTGTGCTCAAAATTTGCTAGAAGGAACTTTCTAGTATACTTGCACACTGTCATTACCTCTGATCTTTCATTTAACAGCTTATGTTGGTCAGGGTATTGCATTAATGCCAACTACTTCTGGCACAACCTTTTGTTCCCAATACCAAGTGCCCAGATCTTTCTCACCTCATCTCATTTCACAAGAAGACTCTTATTTTTATCTTTCATTCCCTATACATAATTAGCAAATCTGTTTTTATACTTTGCCAGTTTGAAGGATCATTTCAGCCAAATATATACATTTTTATGACCATTTTCTCATTCTACCCTGCCTCTATAGACAAGTCCCTCCACCAGGCACTTATCATTTAGCAGACAATCTACTGCATTTTGGCAGTTACATTTTTATCAGCTGCTTTTATTTCCCTCAGTTGCACTTTCCACACCCATTTTTTTTTTCATTAGGCCCTTTTGTTATTTTTTTTCTGTTTTTTATGCAACTGTAACTAATTTTTACAGTACTTTTATTAAAAACCTTGTTTTGGAGCTTTTGGGTAAATGCTTATTTAACAATTTTAAAAAGATACTTTCAATGTTTATTTTCACCTCTAAATTGAAGAGGGCTGGTTCAACCAAATTATATTTCTTTTTCTTTTTGGGCTACCCTTTTCAAATGTTACAACTGATTTGAACACCAATTTGGCTGTATACTCTTATTTACATAAAGCCTTCTGATAGCCCCTCTTGGCTTCTTCAAATATTGTCATAATAATTATAATTAGCATTTCCTGCACTTTGGCTCATCAAGTAATCAAATTGTCAAATCTACTTCAAACTAACAATGTCTCAGCAGAATGTGCTTTCATTTGTTGTTCAAGCTAACAAATTTTCTTTCAGAGAATTAAAAATAAAAACATTCCAGGTAATTTTAATGCACTATTTAAAAAAGAAAATAGCTTTGTTTCAACTTTAAATGTTAGCTTAAATAAATTTACTTTTCATAATCATAACAATTTTATATGAACAGAAGTTGTTGGATAAACTCATTGATGGAGAGAAGATGGATTCTTACTGGAGTTTAGTGCAACATCAATATATTGTTTTTTGTTCCTTAAGTCAAGAACTTTCATCTTCTCATTTAAAGAAAACAATTTTTATTTGGCATATCCTAATTGTATGTGTCAGTACTCTTGCACTTTTGGGACTGTTACTTAGTTAAAAAAAAAAATCCTGAAATCCTGTTCTTTTATTGGTCTTTCTCCTTAGTAAAATCTTTTCATTCTCTTTCACTACCTATAACTCTTGCATCTTGGTGATATCATTGCCTTGCTTGGGGTGAAATGGTTAAAAAAAATTATTTCTTGGGTGAACTGTAAGTAACTTAAAACAGACAAGTAGGCAGCTTATGCCGCAATAAGCATAAAATCTTTTTCTTTCACATAATAAATTAAAATACTCTGTCATTTTGTTTTTTCTTTTTTTTTCTATTTCAGATGGAATTATTATTTTGCCAATGGACTACACCCTTGGGACTTCCATGTTGTCAATGTAATCTTACATGGGGTTGTGTGTGTTCTTTTCTTAAAAGTATTTTCTTGTCTGTTTGGTAATTCTGTTTTTTGTCTGAAGCAGTTCTCTGCCCCCAAATCTTCCTTCCTGTGTGCGTTGATTTATTCTGTGCATCCAATACACACAGAAAATGTAAGTCTTTCTCTTTTCATTAATTTTTTGTACATTTTTCAACATTATATTTTTTTTTTTTGCTTTCTCTATCAGTTTTATATCACTTCATCGTTCCCACTCATATACTCTCTGCACTCACTTATTATAAACAGATGTCAGTCAAACAAAAGGGCAAAGGTTACTGTTTTTTGTGATCAGTTGTTATTAGTATTTTTTTTTTTTTTTTTTTTTTTGCAGTATCTCATAGTTGAGATATTAATCAGATTGCTACCAGAGGTGAGATAATTTTTCTTAGCAAATATACTCTCAGATTTTATTATGAATATCAATGTTTTCACAATACAATTGGTATTAATTAACCAACATTTGTAAAATGTTTAGGATATATGTATGTACTCAATATATCATATGAGATTCAGTCTATAATATCTAAATAAAATAATAGCTGATATCTTAATATCTACCCTTATTAAAAATATTGATAACTTGCATATGGGTGTCAGATTTTGTTAAACAAACTAATTGGTAAATAAATCTTTAATTATAAATAAATTCAAAAAGTAAAAGCCACAGAAACATATTTGATTAACACAATATTCTATATACATGAAGTGGAATGATTATATTGAATGAATTGCTAGTTCTGTTGCTAGAAAAGTTGGTTCCTTGACTCATACCAGACAATTTTTCTCACCAGAATCCATCTTGCACATTTATAAATCTACCATTCATCAAATATTGCTGCCACATCTGGTTTGGTGCTCCTGCTTTTTATCTCAAGATTCTTGACAAAATCCAAAGATGGGTTCGTAATGTTATCAATCCTGACATAGCATCTTGATTTCAGTCACTTTTCCACCCGCTTAGTATAGTTTTCACTGTGTCTTTTCTATAAATATTTTCATGGCAGTTGTTCTAATAACAAAATTCCTTGGTAGCTAGACTTTGTGGATTTTAAGTGTAGTACAAAATTGGTAGCTAGGTTTCATCATTTTACTGTTGAAATAAGTAGATGTAAGTTTTTTTTTTTTTAGTACTTCCCACTTGTGAAAGTCTCTTCTGGCTTCTTGGTTCCCTTTTAAGTACGGACTCGAAAAATTTGAATGTAATATCAATTATCATCTTCTGACTTCCTGAATCTTATTCATTTATTGTCCTTTCTTCTCAATAACATTTTCTCAGTTTGTTTCACCCTGTCACCCTCTTTGCATCTTAGTGGAATTATCACCTTGCTAGGGGTAAAATGATTAAAATAAAAATATGTACATGAATAAATTATATATTTCTAAAGAATTAATGGATTTTTTTATTGATTAATCCAACAGATTTTATCACTTAAATGTTATTTTTAATGGATACCCATATTTAAGTAGGTGCTCTGTTTATTTATTAAACAGTATATTTACTTATTTTGATATACTGGTCTGAATATTTGAGAAATATTATTAAAGAAAAATCCATGCCCTATAGCAAGATTTGAACCTACATTTCCCTTTGCAGGAGAAACTGTTGCTGAATCAGTCAGCAGCAGGTTGGATCTAACAACTTTCTTATGACTCATAAAAATCTTTACATATTTTTTTAAATTAAAAAATATCAATAGTATATTATAATATATATATATATATATATATATATATATATATATATATAAAGACTTGCCTAACGGATTGAGTCCTCTCGGTCATATATATATATATATATATATATATATATATATATATAAGACTTGGTCACTGGCGTGTTTATTTAAAAATAAAATATGCAAAAATTCACCGTCCTCTCTACTGGCCACCAATAGCTTAGGGATAGAATCTACAACTGATGCTAATTCTGCTAGGTTTCAACTAGATGTCTAGCCACACTGATGAGCTGTAATACAGCAAAACAGTCTGTGGATGACAGTGTATATATATATATATATATATATATATATATATATATATATATATATATAAACAACAGACATTTGGTGTTAATTAATTTTAATGATTGACTTTTCCAAATTATGAATAATCCTTCTTAGACAAGGAGAAAATTTTGTAATCGGGCGAGGTAGATACAATTGGTGACTTTCATAGAACTAGTGAGTATTGTGATATAAGTGAGATGTAACATCTGTTTTTATATATACATATATATATACATTTGAGGATGTGGGCTCTTAAGTTACACAGAATGTCTCATTTTTAATATTTACCTTAAAGAACATTTGCTGCTTAAATGCACACACTCATATGAGATATATATATAACACAATAATACTCACACATACAGTAAAAAGAACCTTCAGATATTGGAGGCCATCTACATTAAAATGAAGCAACCTACATTCAACAAAATTACATTTCAAACTAGTCACAACACATTATACTGCATCTAGACATTGGTTCTATTGTAATATTTTGGTCTGTCATGTAGTAAAGATGTTATAGAACTCCATCTTGAACTTCCAATCTACATTTGTTATTACTCTGCGACCATTATCATTGCATAGCAATTTCTTATGACGAAATAACAAAATGTCAGCTTTGACGGTTTCATGTCTATATAACTACTCTGAGGATGGCTCCTGTGGGTCAAAAGCTTAGCACCAATAAAAAAAATATTCAAATATTGGACAATTTTTGTCTTTATTTTGACAAGAAATTAACATTTGAACATTAGAATGACTCATGATCAGACACAGTCATTGCCTTTTATAATTAATAATATATATATATATAATGTGAAGAACAACCCATGAGTGACATAAATAATACTTTCTCACCACCAAATAAGTTATTGTAAATATTAATTATAAATACATATTATAAGCAGAAATTTATGTGTTACATTCATCATATCCTGAAACTTTTGCTAAATTCATTAAATTAATATGAATTCTACTCTGGAAACATTGATCTGTATAATAAAATTTGATATTGCCTAGTTGCCTTGGATTGTGTTACAATATTGTGCTGTACTTTTAAAAGATGGCAGCATCTCTGTGCAAACAAAGGAAATTTGTGTATATTTACTTTGGTGACATGACTACTTGTCAATGTATACAGCTATGTTTTAAAGATATATCGTGATCATTTAAATTATTATCACATCTTAATACATACATACATACACACACACTCACACACATATATATATATATATATATATGAGTTGGAAATAAAATGCAGACTGGAATCTGATAGGATGATAAGATAAAAGACAAATAGGAAATGTATATCAATCTAACATGTTTCACTTTTATTAACACTTCATGAGAGATTGAGAAAAAACAGACAAAAAGACAAAACTTTAGTATTTTCAATTTTGTTTGGATCAATTCATATTGGTCTGTCACATATCACATGCATTAAAACTGTAGATAATTCTATATGTATGTAAGTTTGTAAAGATTCTTGTATGTCTAAGTGGGCATCAGATGGTATTGTGTATTTGTAATTGTGTCTGTCTGTCTAGTTGGAGGAGTTCTAATGTCTTCAACTTTGTGCCATCAGCTGGCACAGTAGGATGGCATTCCACTTTGGGACTGTTCTTTTTTTTTTTTTTTATAATGCATGTGCTCTTTGTATTAGATATAAGTTAGATTCTTTAAGAATGGATTCAAAGAAAGATGTTGATGTAATGTTTTAGGCATGTGTTTATATTTGGTAATATTGTTATTATTAAGCTTTCAAAGTATTTTCTCCTTAAAGAATTGCATACATATAGAATTATCTACAATTTTAAGCATGTGATGCATAACTGACTAATAAGAACTGACCCAAACAAAATAGAAAATACTGAAGTTGTTTCACTTTTATAGAAGTTTTGTCAGAGATTGAGAGAAAACAGACAAAAACAAACATGTTAGATTTACATTTCTTATTTTTTTTGTTATTTTTATATATATATATAAAGAACCTTCAAATATTTGAGGCCATCCACATTAAAACGAAGCAACCCACACTCAACAAAATTACATTTCAAACTAGTCACAACACATTACATTGCATCTAGACATTGGATCTGTTGTAATACTTCAGTCTATCGCGTGGTATGATGTCATAGAACCGCATCTTGAACTTATGATCTGCGTGTGCTACTCTGCGACCATTATCATCACATAGCAATTTCCTATGACAAAATAACAAAATGTCAGATTTGACAGTTTCATGTGCATGTGGGCCAAAAACTTAGGACCAACTTAATAAAAAAATATCCAAATGTTGGACAATTTTTGTCTTATTTATTTACTTTTGTCTTATTTATTTATTTATTTTTTGTCTTTATATATATATATATATATATATATATATATATATATATTATACTTTTTTGAATTTATTTAGATTTAGACTAATGTCCTTGTCTTTGTGATACAGACATTACTCTGAATTTAAATGATAACTCCACATCCCTGAAATTCCAGACAGATATTATATTTCATTGATATTCTTCTGCATATAGTAATTGATTTGGATGTAAATAAATCTATTTGAAATGCACAATCAAAACTTTTGTTTTCATTAATTCTTATGAGCAAAACCTGAGTAGGTTACAGTTTTTATTAAATATACATATCAACAAAAAGTTTAAGAAAGAAAAATGAATCTGACTTATCACACCCAATTAGAGTCTTTTCTACACCTGTTGAAATCCAGTATCCATAACTGGCTTTCAGACAATTGGACCAATTACCTTTAATTTACCCTTGTTTTGTCAAATGAACACAACACATTGCGGCATACACCTTATAGTACATTGCAAATTGTCAAGAACATTAACCATTTTAAATTTCTTTTGAATTCTTATAAAGTTAGTAATGTTTGTTTATAATGTTTATATTTTATTTCTATTGTGGCCTTATTAGGACCAGAAATAAAAACACAAAAGAGGAACTGAGTTAAACACATATATTAACAGAAACAGTAATACAAACATATACAAATGAGAGTGTTACAGCAAGAATGTTCGGTCTGACTATCAGAGCTGACTGCTGGAAACTTCCTCCTCTAAAAGGCAGTACCTGCTCCTATTTATAGTTGAGAGAGTCCATGCATGCATGGGTAAATTACCATAACAATTTCTGTCGTTTAATTAAATATTTTTAACATTTCCCCTGCTGTGAAAACATTTATGCCTCCATTAACCTTTCCATATGGACTGACCAATTTCTTGCTTTTATTTTCAACTGAATTTAACATTACCAATTGGCAATAGAGGAGTATCTGCTTGTAAATAAGCCTGAGAAACATTGCAGCATCAAAATGTATGATTTGGATTTCATAAATATTATCAAAACCAAATATTCATGAGTGAAAACAGCTCTGTCATGATGCTATCAAAAGATGTATAAGATATAGAGGGATCTAGTTAATAAGATAGCTCATAAATAGAATTTAAATTTGAGCTAACATAAGATAGGTAAAATTGGGAAATAAATTCAGTTTGGAAATGGTTGCCAGACCAATTAACTAATGAGGTGAATTGGATTTTTACTTGCTGCCAGACTAGTAGAGCGTTACCAAAACATGGCATTGATTTTCAGGCTAGACTAAAAAATAGATTTTCCACATTCACAAGTCAATGTTGGCGTTATTTTTTTTGTTTTTGATCATAGTGCTAATAAAAATAATGAAATTATATAACAATATTAAAAAAAAAAAATATTGAATATTGCTGCCTTTCTGCGACTTAGTTTCATCTGGACTCCCAGTTTGTTTTACAACTTTCTCACAATCTTATGGCAATTTAAGGGACAAGAAAATCAATTCTAGTTTATATATATATATATATATATAATTATTTTTTATAAAAAAAATTATAACATAAGTATGTTATAAAATCACTACAAAAATAGATACACACACATAATAATAATAATAATAACTGGTCACTTGTATTTGAGGATACTTTTCTATTAGGTTGGCTAGCCAATCTCTGTTGCAGACACTCGTTCAGGCACAGTTGTGTTTGTTCAACGCCCACAGAGCCTACCTGTGGTTTATACTGCAACTATGCTGAGTAGACCTTAGTTAAAGTTAATGGAAAAGAGTGTGTTATCAACAATCTGAACAAGGCCAGCATGCTCGAACCATTGGCCATGATGACTTGTGGCTTCATACTAGCACAGTTATTGATAGCCCACAATACCAATTACCATTATTTTACTCTTCTCTCGGGTATCTGTTTGATACATTCGAACCTAATATATATTCACCTGAACTCTAACCATCCTCCATCTGTTATTATTCACAAGATCTAATGTAACATCCAGAAAATCTACCTGTTTAACATTAGTAGTGATTTTAACTTAGGCTTTAATTCTCTATGTATTATTTTCCTTAATTTGTCAACCTTAATTTTAGTAGAATTTTTTTACTAACATAAGACCATTGTCTCTATATAACCCTCTATTATCAACACTAACATCACCAATAAAAACTTAGATAATAAACAAACTCACCTGGTCAGAAGACTGCAGAATCTAATGATCCCAGAGAAATATCAAAGTGATCATCAGAATTGTTCTTAACCCACTGTTTATTATTGTGAATAAGAACATATCTTCTGCAGTTCATTATCATCATTATTATTATTCCCCTCAGCGTCTTATAGAATTGAACAAGTTACATTTGTTTCATAATTATGATACATATTTGTCATTTTCTTATAGTTTTATATTAATTTCTTGACTGCTACTGATGACCTTGTCTAGGATTATATTTCAAACCACATTTTACCATGATCAAAATCCTCTCCCACTTTTTTTTAAGGTTATTTTGAATTTAGCATAGGTCTGACACCTAATTGGTTAATCAGGGTAAACCCACAAGCCTCATTTTAATTTGTTGTTATCTGCTTTTGAAATTTAAAAATAATTTTTTACTCACCAGTTATTTACCATCACCTGAGGAAGCACAACCATAGTGTGCTGAAATGCGAAAACTATTGTGTAGCGATTTTTAACATGTCTTTGTCTTAATCTCATATAATAAATAATATTAAGCTCTACTCTGTATTGAGCCCTTTTAAAAAATTAAATGCTACAAACAGCGGAATTATACTCCATTTTTCTTATCCCATACCTGGAGATATATATAATATACACATACAAACATCATTGATGCGTAATGGATAGTGTCTCAGAATTAGAAATTGGAGAGCAGTGTTTGAATTCAGGTTGAGTTCATTACATTTACTTACCTCTTACTTTTGGGAAATATATGAATCTATATTTGTTGTCCTCTAGCTATTGGTTAAATAGTAGGGAAAACTGGTCTCTTTAGCCTTGCTTGGCAATCAGTTTAGGAGAAGGGCAACTCTGAATTCAAAATCTGGGGAAGATTGTTTAGAGCCCTTGAGGAACACTATTTTCACCCGTTCTCTATATTCAGTTCTTCCAACATGTGGTTGGTTCTACACAAGCTTTCATCACTATAATGAAATCATTGTGTGTGTGTAGCCTAGCTGTTTGGATCTAAAAACTGAGGTGCTGAACCCTGATATGTTCCATCCTGGGTAAGATGATAAACTACATTAAACAGCAAGGCCTCTGATTGGCAGGTTTTGAGGAGTGTGGAACCAGCTCTTAATTGCTGGTGTTCCCAGGTCCACCCTGACACAGGGTGCTAGCACCCGTTAGGGTCCCAGCTATGGGCAAATAGTTAACCTGCAAACTGGGGTCAAAACACTATGAAAATGTAAAAATAGGTTTTAATACCAGCAATACATTTTTGTAAAAAATTATTACCAACAATACATTATTACCAGTAATACATTTTTGAAGAAAAAAAAATTAGCAGCAATAAAAATCTTGTCGGCATTAAATAATCCATTGAGGTTGATATGTCATAAAACAAACCAAGACAAACCTAACATGTTGAAGACAATGGGAGAGTCTATTACACTCACACACACACACACACACACGCACGTCCTTCTTCTGGAAACAAGGATTTTGATATTATATATTCAAGCTTATCAATCTGACCTCAAAATTAAATCTTTTTTATAAAATCTCAAAGATTCTCTTGCAGTAGTTTAACAAAACTATACATATAAATATAATAAAATTTTTATCTGTTTATGACATAAACACATTAAAATATGTATAAATTCAAATGGAAAGAGGTTTATCTTTGAATGCATTAGTGTAAAGTGATTTTATATCTAGACTGACCATGAGTTTCTCATTCATATTTGTTTCCCTTAGTTTTTCAACTAGGTTGCCTAATGTGCCCCATTATTTCAGAAATAGACAGTGCCCCCACAAACTGGCAAAAGCCATTAGAAAAATTTTAACCCTTCTCTTTGGAACAATCAGTCCATCACATATAAAAAAAATTCAGGCAGCAAGTCTTGTAACTATAAAAACAATGGTCAGCATGATTAAGATTTTGTGTTTGAAATTAAAACACCCCACCATGGACTTTTTAAGTCTGTCACTCTCCATATTTCAGGTTGCTGGAATTGTTGGTCGTGCCGATCTGCTGTGTGCTTTGCTTGTCGGCATGTCTTTGTTATGTTATGTCCAGGCATGTATCTCAGGTAGGTGTGTCTGTCTCTGCATGGCAACCTTGACTATGGGCTTATTTACTATATTTTTGTGGCTTCTACGACAATTTAGCTTTAAACTATATAACTTCAACCCAAAATATTTCCCATTAATAACTGATTTTTATTTCATACATATAAATTTGTCTCAAACTTCGGCCTAAACTAATCTTTTTGGCATCTCCTTATCTGTGTTTAAATACCTAATGATAGGATATAATTAAAATATAAAACTGGGTTATAAAACAAGAGAGTAAATTGCTTTTAGTCTTTTATTTCTGTACCCTCTCTCTTCAAGATGTGGACAATAATGGCTTTCCATAACTTCTTGTCTTTGTAGCTATAAGCAATATGTCTCCTTACTATTCCTCTCAGTCCCTATTCTGCCATTTATTTACACAAACCCATTCGGTAAGTTATACAATGTTTCTTGTTTTTCAGTCTGTCTTATTATAAGTGTCAAATTCTCCAAGGCCTCTTTTCTCATTATGTGTCCCAAAAATGTCAATTTCTTCTAAGTATAACTATCATATATACTCATATAGTGTGAATTTTTATGATCATTATTATGGATAAAATAGAGAGTTGCACTACATGCAGGTATTTTTTTTTTTTTTTGAAGAGGTTATAAAAAAATCATTTTCATTGACCAGTGGCACTAGACACAGGCAAATTTTTTTCTGGCGGTTTAAAATTCATGCAAAAAAAATTCATAGAATCGTGCTATACATATAGTTGTCTTATACTTATATCCTTTTTATTTCCATGTTAAGTCTAGTAATATCATTTTACTATTGAAATAGCTAAATATAACCATAAGTTCTACTATAATATTTTCTTCTCTTGTACTTTTGACCTATTGAACTCTCTTCAAGCTTCTTGATTTCCTCTCAGCTACAATCTTCAAAAATTTAAATTCAATATCAATCATCTGTCTCCTTGACTCCTGTTCTTTTATTGCTCTTTCTCCTCAATCATATTTTCTCAGTTTTCTTCACTCTCTTTGTCTTTCATTACCAGTAACCCCTTGTATTTTATCAGCTTGTTTGGGGTGAAATGATTAAAAAAAAAAAATCACTAATTTCAGTGAAACATAATTTTTTTTTTTTTTCAATCATTTACATCTCTATATGCACAAGCTGAAAGCAAATGCACAATAAAGAAGTCAAAGGAGGATCCTTAAATCAATCCTTCACTTTTCCCTTTCAGCCATTTTGATTGGCCAAAAAAAAAAAAAAAAGCAAGTGTATTTACAGTGACTAATACATTTGCTCTAGTTAAAAATAACAAACTAGAATAAGGTTATTTTTTTTTTCAATCTGTTCAGTGTTTTATGAGTCTTAAAAGCCACAAAATATGGTATTTTTTTTTAATTTGTTAGCTTTTTACAAGTTTCTTTTGTGTATGTGTCATAGTTTTATTTGACCTCATATTTCACTCCTCTCTTGTACAGCTTAGGGGTTCTGTGATCACAAAGCATAACTCCTTTTTCCAATTTGAATCAAGAAAAAATGATCTAATTATAGAAATAGTTTGGGTTGTAACTGTTATAAAAGTTAAAACTGTTATATTCTGGTTTTGTAAAATTTAGCTTTTTCATATTTGAAGTTATTAGTATTGAAAAAATATTAAAAAGAAAATGTGAGGTCATAAAATAAATGACCAATTTAAAATGAATGGGTTAATTTTATTTTTAATTTAATTTTAGAAGTTTGAAATCATTATCTAAATTAAAAAATATGTTTTCATTCTATTTTTAATTTTTTGAGAATTTAAATTATCAATTTCACACTTGATTTAATAAAATAATTTAGATAAAAATTTTAATGTTTTGGATGAATAATTTATTTCATAAGCATTAAAAAAAAAATTATATGCATGTTTTTTGTTTTTTTTCTTTTTACATAGACACAATTAATTTAATTCTGTGTTCATTTAAACAATTTTTTATGAATCCACTGTACTTACCTTAAAATTCAGCACTCTTCTTACTAGAATTTGTTCGTATATAATAAAAAAAAAAAAACTTTTTAAGCTTGAAATCTTTTCAAGGGGATTTTAAATAATTTGGATCAGTTTTTTCCTTTACAAATTAATTTCATTAAAATTGTTAGTTTTTATGTACAGTGGGTTAGAACATAGATTTTTTTTATTGTCTGCCATGTTTTTCCTCCATTTGTTAATTTTAAATCTAATTTTTGTTGATGAATGGCTTATAAATCTAGTGTATTGTTATCAGTTTTGTTTTTAGGCTTTTGCTTTGCCTTCCTGTCATTGTAAATTTTGATCCAACACTATAAAGCATTGAAAATAGTCAATGTTTGACTAATCGATTTTTTAATACAAAATGGTTGCTTAAAATTACTACAGTAACATTTTTTTCTCCATCCTGTGGAAAATTTGAAAAATTATTTTGTAAAGTAGTTCTTTTTACAGATCAACAGAATTCTATTTTGATTGAAACATTGCTATTAAATCAACTTTTATTCACCTTAAAGAGAAATTATATTTAAAATTGCTTCCTTCATTTTTTTTGTTTCATTGTTAGGTTGAGCCATAAATAATTTTTGTTTTTGTTTATCAACTTTAATCTTGAAATTATTACTGATGGTTTCCAAAAATGGAAATTACTTATGACACAACCTAATACATTATTTTCTATGGACTATACATATTTCTAATTTTGAATTATCTTGTTGCTTTTATAAAATTATATTTTGAAAGAAAATTATTCTAAATTAAACATTTCAAATATAAAAAAATAAAGTGTTATGGACTCTTGTGTTTATAAATTGTGTGCATGCTACTCAAAAGCTCAGGTAAATTTGAATAGCAAGCACATAACTTAAATATTGTATGGATTTCTCCTGTCACCTTTTTGTGAGCTCTTGTGTAAACAGCAAGTAAGAAAATGGTGGAAATTGAGTATTAAAGTAATTTTTTCTTTTGGTGTATCATCTTGTATGTAATATATAAAAGCAACTGAAAATTTTTTACAGAATTATTTTTGATAGTATAAAATAACTTATCAGATCAGCCCATTAATATGATTAATGCAGGAACATTTGAAAAAAATGTATCTCCAAAATTTTCTACAATGTCCTTTGACATTTCTCCTTCTAAAACTAAAAAATTAATTCATTGGACATTGAGAGTTGGATCACTCATTTCCTGCTCATAACAATCTGGGTAGGTCTTTCAACTTGCTAGTCCAGAAGCAGCTTCACATATTGATGTCTTCTGTTAGTATAACTAGTGAGACTGGATCCATCACCCACTTGATTGGCCTTACAGTACCTGATATACCCTAACAGTCACATTTGAGTATTGACCAAACTCAATGTTGCTTAACTTTGATGATTGGATGAGATATGTCTGTGAGCTGTATATAGGGGTAAATTTTATTATTTCAGAAATGCTTGCTTAACAGAATAGCAGTGAAGAGCAGCAAATGCCTTGTATGAAGTTGCTAATCTGAACAGCTGTATTCTGATGACATTCAGGCTGTTTTTGGTGATTTAATGCTGGTTGACCAGGTTAAGAAATTGACTTGGTTCGCAATATGGTATTAGTCAAACATTGATCATATATTTAAGATTGCTTTTTTTTTTTTTTTATTCTTATCTGGCATGTGGTGTTGGTTAAGATGGGCAACAGTAGTCTACCTTAAAATAGTCATATCTACAGAGAACATGTTTTTTTTGTATCACTACAGTAAATTATATTTTGTCTTCATTACATGGAGATGAATTATGCTTGTTCTTTTTCACCTCTTATGTCAGTAAATATTTTAATGTATGTTTTGTATGCATTTTTGTTAAAATTTGAAATGAAAAATACAAACCTCCAAAGCATCTTCCCTTCCTATTGAATAAGTAAAAAGATGATGAATTACTTTAAATTTATTCTGATTTATTTCTATGAAGGACATCGTAGTAAATTTAAATTATCAAAATTTAATGTAGGTTCAATAATGGTATTTATTAAGCTAAGCGTAGTATGACAATGTGCAGGAAATATAACAGATATCAGTATGGAAAATCAAAATTGGTGGTCCAAGTTCAACTTCCAGGCTAGAATGTTGCATTCACTTTCACACAAATATCCTTGGAAAAGGCATGTATCCATCTCTTCTCTCTGCAGACATTTTTTTTAAATAACAGAATAAATGGGTCTCTATAGCCTTAGCTGGCAACCAAACTAAAAGAAGAAAAACTCTGAATTCCAAACTATGGAGAAGGCAATGGATAACCACTCCATTATCTTTCTTAAGAATGCATAGTAATTTGCAGATAATAAAGAAAAGGAGTCTGTGGAGAGCTGTAATCACCAATATCCTGAAGGAACATGGTATAAGTGATTACTCTGAAATGAAAACTGTGGCAAGAGAAAAAGGGAAATCACTCCACTATTTTTTGCCAAGAAGTCATGGAAGCTCACAGATAATAAAGAAAAAGGAGCCTGTAGAGAGTCATAATTGCCTACATCCTGAAGAAACATAGCATTAAAATATATAACATAGTATGGCACAAGGTCTTAATTGAGAAGGAAGAAAAATTTGTTTTTTTACCGGAGTTCAAACTCTGATTTCTGGAACCAGTAGGAAATATGTAACTATCTCAACCATCAGGTATTAACCAATTGTGGTGAAAGAGCTCATCCTCTTTGGTAGAGTGGATGACTTTCAAAATTATTTTAGAATTTTTGAATGAATTAAAGAATCTCTAAAACATTGATTTCCTTTATTTTGGCACCCAATTATGAAAAAAAAAAAAATCTGAATCACTTTTGAAGTATTTGGTGTATGTGTCGATTATCCAATAAAATAATCAGTTATGACCTAATTATTAAATTCTTTACTGCCAAGTGATAAGCCTAAGCTTGATTGATTTACTTTTACAAAGAAATTTGCAAAGTCCTTCACTGAGCACCAAATTAACTCACTTGGCATTCACTTACCTGAACAAATAAAAGGACAATAACTCATCTAAAAC